TGCAGAAGTACAACATTGACTTCTCTCTTTGAAAAATAGGAGAAGGCAGGGTTTGGATGATACCAAACTAGCGAGATACCAGATTTGGTTGATAGGCAAGCAGACTCAAATGAGTCTTGGAACTCTTAAATCGAAGAGGCATGATCCTGGGTGTCAGGAACGCCTCCCAAAGTATGGTGTGCTCATCGACATTGGGACCGCTCGACTCCCTTGGATGTGGCCTTGTGAACCATGCTGGCCCCACCCTCCGTTGAGCAAATGGAGCCATAGTTGAAACAAATTCCTTCCTTCGAGCGAACATCAGAACGAAGTTAGTGAAGGTTTGTTGAAACTCCAGCCCATCTTCCACAGGTGTCAGCAGAGCCAGCCTAATTCCTTCGATACGTCTATTAGCTATCGCTGGGGCTTGTTCATTTATCTGAATCTTCTTGGGTAAGAAAGATTCGAAAGTGGCGTTGAGCCACAGTTGAAGTAGCCAGAAAGGCCCAGCGAGTAGCAAACTGGCCCTATCTTCGACATGTTTCAGAAGAGTGACCCCATTGCTGATCGAGTCATAAAGACTGGCCAGAATCAGTTCTGCCAGACAGATGTTCTGGCGGTGATGCAGTTGGGTAGCAAGAGTGACCATCTTTTTGGTCACTTGTAGAGACTTCGAGCAAAACACAAAGCGCGTTAGCCATAAGGCTAGAAACGCTATGTGTTCGACATCCGACACCGCGTCTGTCGACCTGTCGTGATAATGGTTGATAAAGGTAGTGTATGTTGGCTTGGTCTCAGAGAAGCCAATTTGGTCCTCCGACATCTCCTCCGGGTCGAAATAATCTCCGGTTGGTCGAAGGCCAGTAATAGCTGCTACGTCGAAGAGTGTGGGGGTTAACATCCCACATGGAAGATGAAAAGTGAAGTGAGAGTAATCCCAGAACAACAATGAAGCTATCAGCATTTCTGGGGAGTAGTTTAAGCCTGTCTTCGACAGCATCACTAAGTCGAAGATTCCCATTTCCTTCCAGACTGGAGTTTGATGTTTCTCCAACTTTGTTAGCCAAGCAACATAGTCGGAAGTCAGATTAGGGCAAGACCTGAAGACCCTAACACTTCTGTTGAAGAAGCGGAGGTCGATTTTTTCGCGTGTAGGGTCTTCGTTGTCTTCTGCGTCCTTCTTGGCGCATGCTACTGGCTTGAGTTTCTCGACGATGGGGAAATAGCTCTTGATCTTCAGAGCTTCAGAGATGCTTGGATTCATGGGGCCAGACATTGCGAAGATCTGGTTGGAGTATCCAACCGGGATCATCAAGTGGCGCGAGTAAGCATCGCGAACGGAGATGTCAGAAGGTTCAGGAACCCTTCGTTTCCCTGTAGAGTTTACTACCGGAGCAGTAACGAAGACCTTGGGTTTAACATGTTGTTCAGTTGGTGCGTTAGTCTTGGAAGCAGTAGAAGCAGAGGCCATTGTTGAGGATGAAGATGAAGTGAAAAAGGAAGAGTTTTTCTGCAAAGAGAGCAAGCTTGTACGAAAACAAGGAAGTTTGAAGGCTAGTTTGCGTAAAAAATCCCACAATGGGATGTTCACTACTATTTATAGTAGTGGGAGAAATCCCCAATAACGAGGACATTAAATGTCATTTAATGCTGCAGGAATTAGTGGGACGCGTGGCAGCCCCTTGTTGCTTTGGCCGTTTCTGCAGAAGTAGAGAGACGCAACGTGCGTCCTCGTTTTTTGAGCATTGTCATAATGACAAATTCTGAAGTGACGTTTTGGTACTGCACGCCGTACTGAAAGTGACGTCCTAGGATCAAATCAATGATGGTTTCTTGGGATTGCCAATAGTTGGTAAAAAGCAACAAAAAGTGCACAAGTTAACTTGTGACTAAGCGTGGAAAAACAGGTGTCGAATGGCGTTTTCAAAGAATGCCTTTTTCTTTCAGAGTCGAAATAAGGCATTCTTGGGGGGCAATTTGTTGGCTCCTAAATTTGACACCTTTGTTTTAATTGATGTCAGCCATTAAAAGCTGAAAGATGCTTTCGACTGGCTAAGCCTGTCGAAGTTCCCGTCGAAAGATGGCAAAATACTTAGAAGATTTCTTCCAAGGAAGAAGGCTGGTTGCCTTCGACGTCGAAGGAGTTTTCGTCGAAGACGTCTCTTGATAAAGGTGTTCGATGGTCCAGAGTGGAGCAGTTTGAAATTCAAAGCTTTGGAGGGAAAACGGTTTCCAGCAGTTACTACGTGCAAACGTGCAAGGATCTGGAGCGTCGAGCATGGAGAACGTGCCAAGTGGCTTGATCTCGAAGCAGTGTAACTGCCCGACGGTTACCTGGAATGTTTTAGTATAAATAGGAGTAGACATGTAGTTTCTCGCGTGTGTTCACAATCATATACATAGTCACTCATTTAGATTCAAGTACCCAGTGTGAGCGAAAGAATTGTTGAGAAATGTATGTGTGAAACACCAATTTTATCAATTAAAGTCATTTACTTTTCCAGCATTTTACTTGCTTTTCTCCTTTAAATTCCTGTCGAACCTTTACTTTAAAGCCTTGTTTATTTTTACCAAGCCTTTCCTTTATGCAATTTACTTGAAACCTTTAATTTAAAGCCTTATCCACATTAATCAAACTTCAAAATCAACCTATGTCCATAGGATCAATCTGATCGATCCTGCGAGTAACCAAATAAGTAACCATTTGGAGGATCAGCGGTTGTTTACAAAAACCCAAGGTAAACAATATCATAGAAGTATGGTAGCTCGCATCACTACAAGGATTGACAAGAGTCTAATATTTTGAGAAAATTTTAAAATAAAAAGCCAAAGTGACGAAAATGGTTTGAATGAGATTGATTGACTTTTAGTCTTCTCACAAAAAATGACAAAGTATGATTAAGTTGGTTAAAGTTTGATTAAGAAAGTATTTTTGAAAATGCATGGACCTAAGTCCAAGTTTATTATGAAAGCGGTTTAGAAAACAAGAAGAGTTTCGAAAATGAGGAAGAAGATTTTTGAAATTTAAGAAGATGGAAGGATATGAAAGGACTATCCTAAAACATAAGATAAAAACTAGGGAAAAGAACCGTCTAACCAACAAGAAGCCAATATTTTACATATGAAGTCAAGTCAATGTAGAACTCTCATCATTTGGATTGAAGCCAAACAAGAAAAGATATTAAATCTCTTAAGAATACCAAGCTTCAAATGCATTAAGTCTTCTAAAAAAATTGGACAGAGTAACAACTGTATACAGAGGAATTCCCAATCACCGATAAAGCGTATAATCAGAATAACTTGCACACAAAGAAAATCAACCCAGTTTCTTAGGGTAAACCCCAAGAACTCCAGAAAAAATAACAATCAGAGCCACAAGGTCTTAAGGCTATCAAATGCTTCTAAACCTAAGTCTAAGGGGTCCACCACTCCATTATGTCAGGGATAGTAAACAAGTAGTCCATGTAATCTTAAGAATTTTTATTGTTCAAGTTGATTATTAAGTGTCTTCAAAAAGAAAAATGAAAATCTCAAGTGAGCAAAATAAAAAAATGGTATAAAGATAAATGCTCAAGTGAGCAAAGATGAAAATAACATGAAATGTAAATTCTAAAAATAAATGGTGCGTAAAAGTAAAGGTATAAAGTAAAAGCATAAAATAAAAGCACAAAGCACAAAATAAAGTCAATTATTAATGAATTAGAAGTTAGAGGTTAGCTGAATGACCATATTGAAACTTGCATTTGAGAACTCATTAGAAGATCGATTAAATTAAAACTTCTCAATAACAAGTCTCATTTGCTTTTTGTCAAGTATATCATTTATTTTAAGTTCTCGATGTAATGATATATGATCAACAATGTCCAAATGATTCACTTAGACCAAAGTTTATGATGGTTCATTAGAGGATTGATAAGACCAAAGCCTCCTAACAACGAACCTCAAGGTTATTGGATCAAATGTTTCAAATTAAACATACTTGGACTTGCAAACATAGGTTTGGGCCACGAATGATCATTTTTCGAACCGGGATAATTTTATCGCTATGTTAAGCAGTCGTAAGTGGACTTATGTAGAAGTCACACCTATTTTGAGGTCGGTCAATAGCAATGTATGTACTACATAAGTTAGAGATGTGATAGAAACCACACTCATGAAACTTATAGCACAAGAAAAGTCAAAAAGAAATAAAATGAAGAAGAAATAGATAAGGATTAAATTCACATTTGAACCAAAGAATTTAATCAAACTATCATTAAAATCATTCATCCATTTTTGTGGAGTTTAACTCAACATCCAAGATCTAATGATGTTAATGAAGCTCATGATTAAAATCCAATAGTTCAAGTCTAACAATAAAATATATACAAGATAAAATTGCAATTAACAAAATAAATAAAAAAAAGTTAATTAATAAGAATTTATTGATGAAATACACATAGTGTATCAAAAACACCAAATGAAAACTCCAAGAAATTACCAAAAGCCAAATACCAGAAAAGAAGTATTGACAATTTTTTTAGAATTTTTTAATACATAAAAATATTTTTTTTAAATTAAAAAAAATCCACTTAAATAAGTAAAAAATAGCAAAATGTAAAATTAAATTTCGAAAAAGTTACACAAAGTCAGAAATGAGATAAGTGAATTTTATGAAAATTTTCTAAATTTTCGGACGAAAAAAAATAAATTTATTATGAATTTTAGAAGATAAAATGAATTAAAATTAAAGAAAGTAAAATCAGAATAAATCTAAGTCATCTGATCTAGTCAACTTCAGTGCAGTAATTGTATCAGAAGGTCTGAATCTGTTGTACACAGCAAGTACAATAGACTGACATGTAGAGAATCAAAACTTATCATCTTGTCATGTGTGATGACCACTTGTCATCACCTAAACGCCAGCGCGAATTCCTATGCAGGGAAAGGAAGAGATAAAAAAGAAAAACACCTCAAAATGTTGTTACGCTGGAACACCACAAACATTAACTTGTTTAATTTTTCAAGACAGAAAAAAAAACTTTATCTCTCTATACTACCAACCATCTTTCTCTCTTGTTATCAAATGTCATCATCATTGTTTATTATTATCTCACAAAGTAGAAAGAACAAAAACCAGAGAGAAGGGCAGTCGGAGAAAGAAAACAGGGGAGGTGGAGAAAGGCGGACTCGCGGTGGTCGGCGATGGAGTCGCGGCGGCGCCACCGCGAGGAAACTCTGAAAAAATTATTTTTTTTTTTACAGTTTTTGAATCGTATTCTTCTCCTCTGTTCAAATCTAGTGTCAAAATTTTCAAAAAGTCAAAGGAGTTGTCAAGATCTACAAATTAGTTAAAAGATTTTTTTGTTTCAAAACAATAACAAACACCACATAAACGAGAGATTAAGGGCGGATTCGGTTTAAGAAGAAGGAGAACCAACCTTCTACTGTGAAAATGGAGAAGAAATGGTGGAGAGGCGGAGGCTATTGGTGACTTCCGGCGAGAAATGGAGTTTTCCGGTCATATTTTGGCGGATACAGGGGTGGATTCTGGCCTACTCAGAGGTGAGTATTGTTTCTTTTGTTTTTGCTCTGAATTCGTTCCCTCCCCTTTGTCAGTGTGATATCAGGGCTTAAATAGAACTTAGATTTTTTCTGTGAAATCATTTGGGTTGAAAATCTGTGAATATCGAAAATGCTTATTTTGCTCTCCCAAAAGCTCAATCCGAAAGTTAGCATTATATCTCTTTCTTGGTATGACAAAGTATTTTTGTTCACAAAAAGGGGGTGTTTTGAAAGGAGTTTGGATAAAACTTTGTTGTTGAGACATTGTTATTTTTTTGAATGAATATTATTTTTATTGAGATGTGAAATAGGTTTGAATTTATTGTTGATTTGGTTGTTTATTTGTGAACAAATGCTAACACACCTTTCGATGCTCCTCTCTCCTTTTTTGCAATGTTGATGATTGTTGGCATGGATGAAATTTCTTAGAGAGATAAAAGGAACCTGAAGCTATTCGCGGAGTCTAGGAGGACTTGCACGGAGTAGATGGAGTAGATTCAAAAGGCCTTAAAGCTTTGGAGAATTTCTTGTTTTTCATGTGTTTATAATGTAGGTTTGTTGAAGAATAAAAAATTCACGGATATGGAGCTTGAAAAATGGTGTTGAAGCCTTGAATCTATGATATCGAAGTTAAATTAGGGCATAGACTGGTCCTTGTACCATGAACAATGTAACTTGTAATTTGTATGAAACTTGAATATTCTTTTGAAATTTGAGCTTGACCACTTGAATTTTCTCTTGAAGCATGAATGTTACTTGAATAACTTTGATAGAACTTTGAGCTTTGGATAATGTCTTAAATTCCAAGAAACATGAACTTTTTCAATCTTTGCACTTGAATCATTTAGACTTTGAAATTCTTGTATTGGATTGATGTATCTTGAGTTTAAACAAATAAATATGGATTTCCCATGCAATTGTAAAGCTTTGATATTTAGGAAAAATAGAAGTCTTTGGAATTTGAAACTTGGAGACTTATTAAATACGCCTTGTAATTTCTTTTTCAAACTTGTGAAAGGAAGAATTTTTTCCATTCTTTGAATTTTGAAACTCTTGACATAAAGTCTTTAAATTTCAAGTAACACAAATTCAAAATAAATGAATCCTCCATACTTGAAACAACTAAACTTAGGAATTTGTCTTTGAGAACATCACGAACCCAGCTTTAACTAAATCATAAGTTCAAGAAATAACCAAATTCCATTTGAAAAATTGGTGAGATCTTAATTCATAGCAAGAAGCAATTTTACTTGAACAACTAATTACCTCAACAAAAGAAATCACTATGTTAAAGAAGAAATCATGACATACATCGAAATTATAGGTTAAGAAGGTACTAATTCTAAAATGACCAATAATGTTTCAAAACAAATTCAAGGCCTTCTAAGTTCAATTTTCTCTCGCTCCTTGAGGCAATTTTATAGATAAAGCCATTTGCAATATGGTGCAAAAGGAATCATCTCAAAACGATGAAAATTGAACGAGTTATGATCCTTGAAAGTTGGATGAAAGTCATGTGAATTTAGGTCAAAGTCATAAAATGACCTCTAATGTACTCATACTTTTGATGACCTTCTACAAATAATTAGCTCTCGACTTGAAAAGAGAAATTGGAGGTGATGTCAAGGAGATTCATATGCTCGAAGAATCGACCAAAAATATTGAATAATGAAAAAATTATGATTATTTGAACTCAAACTTGTAAACATTGACTTTCATTCAACCAAATTTGAATTAACTGCAGACTTTGTCTTTCCTCACAACCCAAAACACTCTTAATCCCACATGAACTTGAAATAATGAAGTCTTGATCAAATCATGATCACACCTGTCAAAATTTGAGATTACTCATCGAAGAAGGCATGGAAATAAACACATGAACCTTTCTCGAAGAGTCTTGAGAATCAAGTCATCAAACTCGCCTTAACCATGTTGAATGAAGCTTAAGGATAGCGTGACCTAAGATTATAGATCACCACTCTGAAACATAGGCTTTTAGAAACCATCTTTGTCCTGTAAAACCACAACCCCAATCTGAGAACCATCACCCGAACTCCTTGGTCTGAAACCTTGTCTTCTAAAGGAAAACAAAATAAACAAGATATATTTTTGGATTTTGGTTAGAAGTCAGTAAAAATATTAAAACACATATATACAAGATACACTATTCAATGTGTTTGGTGATCCCTAGAGACAAACTTAAAGATAGGAAACAGTAGAAGAAATACCCAAATCCTAATGCATGATCTTGATGTATTGGTGATATGAGATGATGAGAAATCTTAGGGGAAAAATTGGGGTATAACACTTAGCAAATCATAAAACATCCAAATCATATTTAAATCCTTTTTCAAGGTAAAAAACACAAATCAATCAAATGTGGCATCTTGCCTTGAATGCGTATCTCAAAACCATTTTCAGGCAAAGACATGTTAATTTACTTTTGTGCCAACGCGTGAGTCTCTAAAGGTCAAGCTGTGGCAGAAGGCAGAATCAACATTGTTCATAAAAAACACAAAACAAACAAAAACATGTGAGCCAAACTATGGTAACTTTGATTCCTCCAAAAGGATACGTAGGCATTGGGGTAGGGCCCAAACGAGCACAACTTTATTTTCCTACATTATTTTCTCTTTTCTTTTGCATTCATTCTTCCTCAACAGTACAGTAAGCATAGATTAAACACACTCATAAAATAAATAACAAGAATTGATACCATAGAGTACTACGGGCGTGTGGAGTTCTAATACCTTCCCCTTGCCTAACAGACTCCCTTACTCGATCTCTCGGTCGCAAGACCGTGACTTCTCCCTTCTCAGATTTTCTCGATGTTTTCCTATCCCTTCATGTGGGATAAAAGTTGTTTGATGGCGACTTTATTGTTTGATGATTTTCAGCCAGTTGTTTCACATGAGACACAAATGAGGAGTTGTGAGGGAAAGAAAGTTGATGATAGGGATATACCAAAAGGTGGAAACCATACCAAGAATTCTAAGACAAAGATCAATTATGATGGAAACAAGATTAAGAAGACAATCACTAAAACAGAAATTGGGTCTTCATCACAAGCACCAATTCCCACACAACTAACTCAAGAATAGATTAGGATCTTGAAGTACTATTTGTAATGTTTGTTTCTGTCATGAAACAATTTATGTCATGCCAAAGTTTATTTTGATATGCCTATAAATAAGTTTATAATGTGTCTTTTTGTAATGTTTGTTTATGTCATGCAACAAATTTGTAATGAACAACTTCTATCATGCTTCTTATGTTGATGCAATTCTATTTTGGTGCTTGATATTACTTTTGTATGCTACAAAAATCATACTGTCAAGTTGATTATAAACTGGGTATAAAATCTTTATATTATTTCTGTAATGAACAAAATTAGTTACAAACTGATATTGAACCCAAACTGCTACAAACTATTAAACTGATATCGAGTACAAACTAAGTATTGTCAAACGAATACAAACTAAGTATTATCAAATTGGAAGAAAATTTGTTACAAAATGATAATGTTATGTACATAATGTTGTTGTTTTTATACCAACTCTATGAGTCATCTTCATCTTAATTTAACATTTGACAAAGAATTGTAATGAGAAATTTTATTGTAATGGAAATTAAACAAAAGCCTATCAAATTAACATTATAATTTTGCAACAAACTGTTAGTGCAAGGTGATGAAATTGAGAAAGAATAGAGAAAGGAATAAATGCTAAAAGCTGCCACTAATGATTGAAGGAATTGATTGTATTAAATGTAAACCTAGTACACCTATTTATATACAAAGAAGCAAAGATAAGAATACCACAAAGGGCCTAAATGGAATATCCTACATATGGCAAATACTAAATTACCCTCTAATACCATCCCGTAATTTAGTAACTTATCAGAAGTTAACAACACCAATTTCATCTCTCAAGCGAAGAAATTGGTCTGTTTTTATCGCCTTTGTCAGAACATCTGCTAGCTTCTTCTGAGTGCTACAGTGCAGAACTTCTAACACTCCTTTCTGCACTTGACTTCTGAGAAAGTGATACTTCATCTCAATGTGCTTGCTTTTTCCATGTAGCACTGGATTCTTTGCAAGATTAATTGCAGACTTATTATCAATCATCAGCTTCAGAGGTTCCTCAACTTTAACCTTCAGATCATGCAGCAGATTCAGAAGCCAAACTGCTTGACAAGCAGCTACAGCACCTGCAATGTATTCAGCTTCACATGTTGACAAAGCCACAACGGGTTGTTTCTTGGAACTCCAAGAAATTGGACCTCCCAGAAACTTGAACAAGTACCCAGAAGTACTTCTTCTGTCAACTCTATCTCCACACCAATCAGAATCAGAATAACTCAAAAGTTCTGATTTGATCTTTCCTCCAGAAGGAAATAACACTCCATATTTCAGAGTTCCTTTTACATACCTCAGAATCCTGACAGCAGCTCGGTAATGAGACCAATTTGGTTTGCTCATGTATCTGCTGACCATTCCAACTGCATAGCAAATATCAGGTCTGGTATTACACAAATACCTTTGAGAACCAACCATCTGTTTGAAGGTTGTAGCATCCACATTCTCTCCATCAGAATCAGAATCCAACTTCTGATTCGTATCAGCAGGTGTGATAGCAACCTTGCAATTTGCTAGCTCAAATCTCTTCAGAAGCTCC